TGTGTGTCTTCTAGGCTTTGCGACAACTATTGCCATATTCATTCGGGTATTTTCAATGCATTGGTTCTCAAAGGCAGTTCTTCGAAGAAGTTCAGGTCAAACCTAGTCAGAAACAAGCTGCATGAACCAGGATTGAAATGTCACAAGCTTGAATATTGACAAACATACTCACAGGGCTTGAGATTATTTGGATGGACTTTGAGGCACTGCGTATACCTTGTGGGCACCTCTTCCATGAGGATTGCGTCAAGGAGATCCTTCTGTATATGAAATGTGTTATGTTGCATGTCGGATCATGTCGGTTTGTCCTGCTCAGCTCTGCAATCTGAAGGTGCATTTCTGAGCCTAAATTACTGTAGATGTGATGTTATGATGTTCAGGGGGTGGCTTTTGGGTCTGTTAGGGTGTCTTGGGATCCTGTGCTAAAAGATAGAACTTGTTCTGTTACACAGCAATGAGACCATATTGGCAATCTGATTTCTCCTCTTGCAAAGGGAAAGACTGGATTCAACTCAGAGACCACCACCGAAGTCATCATCTGGGCAGCACATCTTTGCAGAGAAACCAGGGACGTCCAGACTCCAGGAATGGCTCAAGAAAAGTAACGAGTGCAGGTCACCCAGTGACGCAGCACCCAGAGGCACCATTAACTTCGAAAGAATGTTTGGAGGATTGCATGTCTAAGAAGAACACGAACTGTTTTGGAGGTCAGCTTGATTCAAGAAGCGGAACACGTGGCAAAAACTTTCCTTGGCTACAATTGATTTGTGATTGCACACATGAATTACACTTGTATTTGCTCCTTCCTTTGAGAGACTGAAGGGCCTCCGTCCAAGGTCCAGTTTGCCGCTGGGAGTTGCCCACAGATGATCAAAGCTACGAGAAAGGCCGTGCTGAGCGAATGGCAGGCACCAGATCCATCGCTATGGATTTGTTCTGAATTCTTCCAAGTAAGCCGGAACAGATTGTTGGGTTTTGTGCTGTGAGTCTGAGGTGAGCTGTAGGTCTCTGACCCGTGCTTCTATGCTTGACAAGGCCGCAAAGTTCGCCTCCATCAGACAGATTTGTCGGTCAAGACGGCGGCGGAGCCTGGGGCAATCCATGGCAAAGAGTTCAGACAATTTGCTCGTCATTTGCAGCACTTCCTTTGCTGGGCATGCATCTAGCGGAGTGCCAATAAATAAACTACTGTACCCAAGTGGACCAGTGCATATAGACTTGTGCATACCTGTGCAAACCATGATTTCGACAGCTTACAGGAGCTGCGGCGCCTCGCTCATTTTCTGGGCGTCGACGTGAAAGACTGCTTGGAGAAGGTGGCTGATGTCAAACACAAATACACTGCTGCATGCAAGTTTGGGGGTGCCAACGCTTTTAGGTTGGAGGCCATCGCTATTAGAGTCCTATTTGCTCTTTCTGCCAGCTGCACAGCACCAGTCCACAGATTTGGGAGCCAACGAAGTTTGAACCGCTTCCCTTGGAAGATGAAGAGATTTGCCAATAAAAGCTGTTTGATAAAACCTTTGATAGCTCCAAACTGATACACATGATTCCGGGTTGAGCCGGTCTACAGGGGGAGCTGGTGGAGAAGATCAGCCGATCGCCCCAGGCGTCAAATTGTGCAGCAACACTGCACCACTTCTTTGACACTTGCAGCCACTGCCGATCTTGGTATTCTTGAAAGGTTGCACTTTAGGGAGGCGTAGTCTATGCCCAGAATATACTGTTTGATCAATCTTCATTATTTGCAGACCCGCCCTACACAGAGCTGCACAGATATGGGCTTGATCCGGTTAGTATTCTGGTTTTAGGAGCAAGAAAGAAAGAGTTCCGCTCCAATGTTTCCTTGTCCTCCCCTCTTCTGGGCAGGTGCACATCATCTCAGCAGCGGAGGTGGGTAGCAGCGCGTAGGCGTAGCACAACTGTACGAGGAATTCCAGAGGATGGACTCATGCTGAAAGCTAACTATATAGCCGGCATTTCTTGACCAAGGAATTTGGCAGTAACAGCAATTTTCTTGTTCATAACTTGAGAGCAGGCAGATAATGGCTCCACCCCCTCCATGCCCAGGCGCTGGGGGTGTTTGTGAAACGGAAGCTTGAACATAAACATTTTCCCAAACTATGAGACACAGTAATTGATGCTGTTTCTTTTTGCTTTGAGGCTGGAAGAGCATGTCCTGTGATAGCAAAATAAGAAGCTTGATTGCCACGGATTCTTGTTTTTGAAGAGAATCGCATCAAACATCACCTTATGTAGGCCAACCTCTTGTACTTGCCTCTTTGATGCTTTCGAGAGTCTGTGAACATTGAATATCATCTCAATATTTTCCGATTCAGATTCCAGTGTTTGGCATGACACTTGTGCATTGAAAAACAGCGCCAGAGGCAACCTATGTTCTGCACTGAAGATCTCGCGAACATGGGTCTCAGTGACATCAAGGTGTGGATGAGCAAGGGAGAAGGGGCTTGGTTGGCTTGGCCGCTCTGTGCTGACGGTGGAGGGAACTCTGGCAACTCCTATGAGGCCATGTTGCATCAAGAGCGCAAGACAATTTCTATGGTTGATGAGTGGTTTGCCAAATATGGGGAAGACATGTGCAACAGCTTTACCGCACAATATCCATGCTTTTGTTTTGCGGATGGTCGGATAAAAGAACGCTCGAGTTTTTGGGAAGGCCATCATGGATCGGCTGTCTGTGAAGGGATCTTCTTCGAATGACAAGGCTCTGTTTGTTCGGCAGCACGGGGACGTGGTTGTGGGGGCTGACAGTGGCTGGAGCAACGAAGCAATCGCTTGGTGGAGGTCAGATAGAAGCTGATGTACAACTTTGTGCGGTTATTCTCTTTTCCCGCAGAGCCATGACAGATGTCTCTGAATGTCTCACCAGTGCATTCGAAGAGTTCTAGTTACACTCGCCCAATTATATAAGCAATACCAACGACTGTAAATTGATGATAGATGATATAATGATAGATCCACTTTATCGCCATATTGCTATTTCCTTGCAGGAGGAGCTCATTGGACAACTTCGAACAGCTGGCCTTCTTCTAAGTGAAGAAGAGGCGAGGGCAAAAAGCCAAGGAGCTTCTCGAAAAGCATCACATGGCGATTCTACTGGCCAGACTCTGTTGGACCTCCGCCTTACTTTGAGATGCTGCAGGCTCACTCAAGACGAGAAGCCCAACAGCATGCGGACGTGGAGGTGCTTTCAATTTGCAGATTGATTTCGGAAGAGTATGCAACTCAGACATCCACAGCTGCCTGATTCAGCACAGTTCTCTCACATCATCAGTTTAGTTCGCTTGTATTTGTGCATAGATTGTAGAGTTTTGTATTGACTTTCTTAACTCTTGATCTGTGCCAGATGGAGCCAGCTGCGGCTCCAAGCCCACCCTTGGCTCAACGAAGCAGTGAACTCAATCCAGAAGAATCAAGCTAACATTAAATAACTGGGCCGCTTGCTTTTCTAAGTATTGCATGCACAGGGTCGGAAATCCGTCCTTTAAGTCTGATGTGTGACAGCCGTGAGGTGTTGGGCAACTAAAGAGCTTAGCAAAGGAGTTGGGGATCGCCTTGGATGGGTGCATAGAAAAGGCGCGAAACAAAGAGACACGAGAGAGCATGAAAGACAGGGGTGATTGCAATGGGCCTGCTAGACAGCTTGGAGGAAAACGCGATGGTGTTCTCTTGCTTGTGCGGTCACAGCACCAGCAGTTGTTTTTGACAAGTTAGGACCTGATCTCTTGTTCCGATGTGATGTGCAGTTGCGGCGAAACCCTGTCTGTGCCGCCTGAGTATGGGACGGACAGCCAGAAACCTCCCACCACTCTACCACCAGCTTGGAATGTGAGCTTTGTTGAGGCGGACATCGTCAATCGCATTGAAAGCTCACCTGCTTTCAAGTGTTGACCGTGAGTGCAAAAAGACAGTGTGGACAAGGTTACAAAGTTATTCTTTCGTCCCAAGATGCCAGACAAGAGAGGAACAATGTGAACATGAAGAGGCATTTTGTAGGTTGAAATTGCCATAAATTGCCAAAGTTTGAGATCCAGCTTTGCTCAACAGTCTATTGTAGAACCAATGCTTTGCTTTGCCAACCTTGAAACTGGGACTGAAGGACCAATAGGTTACTCTGCTTTGTCAATCGAATTTTGTTTCATGGCTGAAGTAAGCACGCGAGCTCTCAATCTAGAACAGTGAGCATGCGTTGCAGCGGAATATCAGGGTGAGACTCGTCCTGACTGCAAAGGGCACCAGACAGATGTCAGGTGCTCCATTCCTCAACACTAGCTTCATAACTCCACTCATCAAGTAGCTTGCACACCCAGCAAAAGAACTTGAGATTCCCATATTGACACCGATTGAAACCGGCTTCCCTTTGAACGGTGCCACAGTGTGGTGCATCAGCGACCACGGCGACCACCCTTAGCTCGGCATCTATGATGACCGGCTGCGAGCCGAATAGATCTCCAGCTGGGCTGCACTTGAAGGTGTTTGCCCCAAACCTTTCCATAAGGCGCAGAGCCATGGAAACAGCTTGGAATTTTCATGCGGGGGGGGCTGTGACCCGGAGATGTGAAACTGCAGTCCGGTGATGCGCGTTGTCACTGAGAGTCCGATGCATCTTCCCGTGGAAACTTCTCCGGCACAGACTGTGATCTTCCAAGCCGCATCGCCGCATCTTTGCTTGGCAGCAAGGCCAAGTACCACCCATTACATTGGGGGCTGTGCAAAAGATTGCGAGGCTGCTTTTGATTGCATGGCTTTAGGTTTAGTTTAGAAGGTGGGATTTGGAAACGGAAATGCCATTGTCAATTCAGGAAACAAGAAACCGCTTGCAACGTTTCGAGCAGGCTGCAAAGGCTTGAGCTCCCAGAGTTTCCAAGCTAATCCAGAGATTCTGATGCTTTGCCTAACTTGAAATTCTCTGATCTTTCTCCAAGAAGAACGTGCCGTAGCCTTTGGCCCAGCGCAGCTCTCCAGCGCGCAGTGACCCCATGGCTCCAAGAAGTACCTTGGCCTGGTGCATCTCGGGGCATTCCGTGGTCGCTTTTTCAGCTTGTGGGCCCTTTTCACTCTGGTACAAGCCCATGGAGTAGGACAACATGGGAACACGCCAAACTGCTCTCTTGCAGATGCTGTTCCATCCCGTTCCTTCGTTTACTGGGAAGGAACATGGGTTTTCATTGGAACTAGACTCACTTCAACTGCGGTGCTGCTGAAAGGTAACCGCCGGCGTGGCCGGGATGGTGGGCGGCCAAGTCTGAAAATTTGTCACAACTTTACATTCTTCATCATTCTTGACTAGATCCCTCGACTGCGCGTCCAACAGAAAGTTGTCATGGATTCACGGATGTTCAGGTCTTTCCTATGGGCTTGTAGTGCATCAGTTTAGCGTTAAGGATGCTGCTTTTGGACCATGTGTTGTCGATGATGGAAATCCCAAGCGGTCCTATAGCTTTTGGATAGTTATACAATAGTTGCAGTTGCCCTGGTATGAATTTGTTTGAGTTGTCCCGTGTTCTGAGGCCACTGTGGTCGTGACGACCGCGGCAGGGAGAAGCCGGCATGTGAATTCCGCAAGGGCAAGGTTGTAAAACAACATTTTCCAGTCGCTTTTGTTGCCAGGAGCAATGAGCAGCAGAACAAAAAATGTAGCCTTCTCACTCGGGAGATCACTTTGAGGTTCATGTATTTGTGAACATCACTATTAGGTTGGAGGCCATCGCTATCATGTTGGAGGCCATTGCTTTTAGGTTGGAGGCCATCGGATGGAGGCCATCGCTTTTAGGTTGGAGGCCATCGCTTTTAGGTTGGAGGCCATTGATTTTTGGTTGGAGGCCATCGCCTTTAGGTTAAAGACAGTCGCTGTTTGGGTTGGAGGCCCTTGCTTTTTTATAAGTTGATTAATTTTAGGTTGGAGGCCGCTAACAGGCAAGTAACGAAAGTTACAATGCCTATCGACCAAGATGCCTCTTCGCACACGGGCCAGGACCGACGAGACGATCGCCGTGAGGTCGGAGCGGAAAAGAGTTCCCACTATTAGAGATCCATCGAGATCCTATGGTAACCGTAAGATGCCGTAAGATTCTCCTCTTGGAATTGAAGGCCTGAGTTGTTTTTTCAAGCTTTGTAAGCATTTCAGTATTCTTGGCTGAGCAAGCTTGACAATTGAGGGAAGACTTCAAAACATGAATCCCGAGTCAATATGAGGCAACGAGGTTTTGGTGGTGGAGGTCGAGGTGTCCCAGAATCAACTCCATTTACTGTATATTATATAAGTATAAGCAACTGTATAGTACTTTTCTGAAAGGGCACATGATATGCGTTGCAATCGGCAGTTGCTTCAATTTTGCCTCTATCAAACATTATCAAAGAGCAAACAGGGCTATACATATATATATATATATGATGTTTCCTGGTTCTCGGGCCCCTTTCCGGCTGGAGATCTCGTTTGTAACGCGGAGGCTCGAAGGAGCCGCAGCTCGTGGGATGCTCAGGGGGTTCACACCTTTTTTTGTTGTGCAGTGAAAGGATACCTAGCTCGTTTAGCCCAAAGCACACCGACTCAAGGAGTTTTTAGGTGAAGAGCATAGGTTTCACAAAGTACAACTTCTAGCCAGACACACACACACACACACACTCGGGATAAGAGTACCTTCAGTCGGAATGCCACATGCCACACGGAAGCCTAGGTGGAAAAATGCCTCAATAAACCAGGTAGTATGTAAGACGGTCTAATCAGCGTTCAAAGGTTCCTCAAGATTGCAAGGGTCTCAATTGTCAAGATTGAAAGTGCGTGACGGCCGTGAGAGAACCGACGCAAAAGATTGTTCTAGCTACAAAGGGGCCACTGGGAAATATCGAGTCATCATGAGTCATCACGAGCAGGAGCAGGTGTGTAGTTGGACGTCTCCAAGCGTATCAGAGGTAAAAACTGATGAGTGCCTTTGTTAGCACCGGTCTCATCAGCACCTCCGGTGCCCCCTGCTAAAATGTTCTAACAACGTCAAATGCCAACTTGCTTTCTGTGACTCCAAGGGGAGGCGAAGTTTAAGCGCTCGGCGGTGCGTGAAACATGTGCGTGCAAACAACGACAAAACAGGATGAAAGGACATGAGAGGAAGACATGAGAGACACGCGCGATGTGGGCGGAGGCAATGAAGGGGAACCAAGTGAGAAGGGACCAACAGATGAGCCAAAGCTCATTATGAACACCTGGGGCACCTGACAGCCTAGTTTGGAAGTCCAGTAGCTCGTAGTTTGTTTAGTCCTTAATTAAGTTGGCGCCCACTTAATCAAGTAATGGACAACGACAAAACAAAGCAGATTGCATGTCTCGACAGAACAAGCTCTGAATAGCGCATCGGTAGAGTTGACTCACTGAGGAGACGAAGAGATCGTCGCAGGTCGCCAACGACGGAGCGCTTGCCAAGCAGAGCTGTTGTAGCGACCCAGCAAAACAAACTCGCCAAATCTCGCTCTCGACTTCTTGCTCGGCCTCAAATCCGAAGTGCCCATCCTGTCAAGGCTTCAAAGGTACAAATTGTTCGTGCCAACAGCACTGTTCAACGAGTGACCAGGAGCCACGAAAGCGACGGCGTCGCAGCCCAGAGACGGAGTGCCCATTTGGAGTGTGGTGCAAGAATGAACCATGGTTTGTTTGTGGCTTTGGAAAATGGATCTGGGGCTCGGAGTGCAAATGTTTTGTTTCCCTAAAATCTAGGAACCAAATCATTAGTGCGAGCGCTTCTTCAAGGAAGCTTCCCCCACCGCCTTTAGGGCGGTGGGGGGAGCTTCCTTCAAGAAGGGCGAGCTATCCTGCGTCCTGTCGGTAGTAGCGTTCTTGTGGCTACTACTAGCTACCTCGTCTCTACTAGTTACTTCTTACCTCTTAGCGGCCTACCCTCCCCCTTTAAAAACATATATATTTTTATAAATACCTTAACACAAACCGAAGAAAAGCTTCGCAGTTTCGCAGGTACAGCAGCAGTTCTGGCTCTGCTTCGTCCAGCGGTCGCGTGGTTGATGGGGTGCTGACGACTTTTTTTTTGCGTGTGTGTCTTTTTTTTTACATTTCTTTATTTTTTTCGAAAGTCTGACAGTCTGACACTTTTCAGTTGTTTACTTTTTTTCCGACCAGCAATGCGTTTATAGCACTCTTGCGCATGGTCGATGCACTCCACTCTTGTCTTAGTCCATAGGAATCGTTGCTCACCTCCTGCCAGTTCCATTGTCCTACACTTCTTATCACGTGAGACAAACGAATCAATGGACCTGGCTGGGACCAACAAAACTGAAGGTAGCGGGGCGAAGAAGAAGTCCGCCGACTCAGACAAGGACCAACCGGTGCTTGTACTTTAAATCCAGTTGGTGGGATGCAGATGATGAGTCAAACACTTGGCATTTGGTCCTCCGAGTCCTCCATACAGTTGCTCGTCTCAGCACAAGGGAAATGGAATTATCTATTGGAATTACTACCAGCAAACAATACTTGTCGTTAATGTTTGTCTCGGGGAGCGGCTGAAGTGATGGACCCTTTTTGGGCTTTGGCTTGCTGCTTGCTTTCAGCTTGCTTTTGCACAGTAGAGACCTTGATTTGCACCCAGTTGTACTGTACCTTTTTTTCACGATACCCCTTCGCTGAGTGCTATAGAGGACGAGATCGTCCACTTCTCATGGTCCAAGGCCTGTCAATGAGGATGTGTAAGCCTGTACATGTTTGACATGTTTGACTCATATGTATATGTATAATATAGTTTGCTATTAGGTTGGAGGCCATCGCTATTGGGTTGGAGGCCGTTGCTTCCAGGTTGGAGGCCATCGTTGGAATCCTGGCCTCGCGGCTTGAGTCAAGGTCCCCCACATGGCTGCATTTCTGTTCAGAGAATTGTGTGGCAGGGGCAGAAGATGGGAGACAAGAAGGAGTGCGCTTCGCTGTCCCGGAATCCAATACCGTTGGTGGACGCTTTGACTGTCACAAGCTGTGATTCCGACTCCCGGCTTCTTCTTCTTCTTCTTCTTTCAGAGCTTGCAACATTCTGCAGTGCAGGGGTGGTGTTTGCTTGCTGGAATTGCAACAGACGCAAGTTTTGTATAGTTTGGTGATCGCATTTCCGGAGTCGGGCTCATAGTTTTATAAGCTTTCTCTGGTTTTGCCGTGAGCCTTATCGCTGAGAATGGGCATTGAGACGATCTTGTGCAAAGCCGATAGAATCCACCAGGTATTCCAGATACCAGGTGCAGAAACTCCTTGGCGATGGCACGTTCGGCAGAGCAGCAGCCTTGGATGAGACAGCAGTGTGTCAGGTAAGGCCGTACAAAATAGCTACCTACGTATATAGGATTATATAGATACTGTACATGGAGTCTATGGAGGCGTTTTGTTTTTGAGTCATGATGCTTGAACATGCCACAGTTTGCCACAGTGCCAGACCTGGGTGGTAGCAGCATTGGCTTGCCGTGTTCTGCTTGACTGTCAAAGTAAAGAATTCCTTGTTACTAGCAGTAGCTTCTTGCTACTAGTAGCGATGGCCTCCAACCTATATACTGTAATAGCGATGGCCTCCACCTAGTAGCTTATTGCTCCTATGGGGATGGGCTGTTTTGTTCGACTTGCTAAGCTCAGTGTTCCACATCGAAGGTCCTTTTGTGCCATGACTCCAAGCAGGATCAAGAGGCAAGATTTGCAAAAGGAGCAAACATGTTTTTTGGGGGTTCTCAGATGGGTGCAATTGTTGGGTTCGTTTTCTCTTGTTCAGCAACGCCCCCCCGACACCCAATGCTCTTTGAGACAGCAGGTGGCCGTGAAGGTTATCCGGGATGTCCGCCGGTGAGGGGGCTCAGAGACGGCTTCTCTTGATACTCAAGAACCAACAGAAGCGTGAGGGGTGAGAGGGAGGGAGGGAAGGAGGAAAGGTCAGCACCCCCAAAAACGATACAGACAGGACCTGTCGAAGTAAAGCTTTGGCTCTGAGATGCTGTTTGAGTTGCTGTCAATTGTTTGCCATGGTGTGCGCTTGGCACGCCGTTCGCATTGCCACTGCACTTGCGGCTGCTTTCGTGGCTGAAGGGAGGCTACACCGAGATGGAGCGCTCCACTAGCTTTTAGATACTTACCCAACTGTGGAATTCTAGGATGGGCCAATAAAAAAGAAAGGAAGGAATAGGAAGCGAACTCTATGCATTGGGGACAAAGGGTAAATCTCAGTTGTGGAAACACGATTATTGCAGGACTTGCTCCCTCGGCCGGCTCCAAGACTCTTGGCATGCACTCATTTGCTTCCTTCCGTGGCTTGCTTCCTTCTTGGCAGAACATTGTGTGCAGAACATAAAAGCCTAAATGGGCCCACTTGTCAATCGGCTTCTATTTTATTCTATTTTGCGGTTCACGTCCTGTTGGCAGAACATTGTGTGTAACTACTCGTCAGTGGGCCGAAGTGGGCCTACTCGTCAGTCAGCCAATGGCTGCACACTACTGCAGGATTCCCAATCCATACGTCGAGTCCTTCAGTCAAAAGTTGGATCACTTCAACTATGAAGACCATCGGCAGCTGCTTGTAAGCCTTGTGGATGACAAAGCGGATTGCGTGCAGCTTTCCTTTTTCCGTTTTGGCTTCGGATAGCGGGCTGTTTTGCGAGAAAGAAGGATACGCATCAGTTCTTTTTACACCTACGTATTTATTCATACTATGACTAGTTGACGAGTGACTAGTTCCCAGATAGTTGGAATCTAGAGAGGCAGGCAGAAATCACTAAAGCACAAGCTTTCTTATCAGGCTTTGAACTATTTTGGGCCATTTGAACTGCATACTGACGCTTCAAGCTTATTGAACTGCTTTGGGTCAACATGGTTTTTGTTACGAGGTTCGTGACAAGGACCCTTCTCGTGTATATTTGCAGGCAAAGAGCTCCAGAGCGAAGACCTTTCAGGGGAGTTAAACAAAAGATAAGAAACATGACCTTACTACTAGGAGCAAAGGGTATCGCTACTAGGAGCAAAGGGCATCGCTACTAGGAGCAAAGAGCAAAGGGCATCCCTACTAGGAGCCAAGGGCATCGCTACTAGGAGCAAAGGGCATCGCTACTAGGAGCAAAGGGCATCCCTACTAGGAGCAAAGGGCATCGCTACTGGGAGCAAAGGGCATCGCTACTAGGAGCAAAGGGCAACGCTACTAGGAGCAAAGGGCATCGCTACTAGGAGCAAAGGGCATCGCTACTAGGAGCAAGGACGCTACTAGGACCCAGATTGAAGGTTCACTCAGCGCTACTTTGTCTACAATGCCAGCTTTCGACCTGGTGGGCCACTGTTCTTTTACACGGGCAACGAAGGCACCCCGGCACTGGGACCTCATTTTCTGACATGAATTGCAGTATGGTGCTCAGGTGTACACACACATACCAATCCTGATAGAAGCATGAGGAAGCCCAGGGCTTTCGTGTCGCCTGGCCGGTAGCGAACTTCAGCTTCCCAGAATCAGCTGGACTTCTTGTTTGGAAGACATAGTTCTTCTTATGGGATATGCCTTCGTTTGGGTGCCAGCAAAGCTCCCCACGTGGTCAAGTGGGAAACTTTGTCTCTCGGAGCCCTGGTCGTCCATGTTCCAGGACCCTTGGAATCTTTCTACTACAACACTGGCCTTCCCTTCGATTGGGCCCCCAGCTTCAATGCGCTCATCGTCTTTGGGGAGCACAGGCGATCTGCTTGAAATTCTAGCTGGCCTTGACGGCCTTCTCACTTGGCGGGTGCCAATATATACGTGTGTAGATTGGATAGACGGCAAACTATAGCCTACTGCCTAGAAATCAAATGTTTGGACTGTTTGTTTGTCCCACAGAGTGGGTTGTGATGCTAGCATCAACTTTGCCTCCCTTTCTTTGCCAGGTACTATGGAAAGACCTTGCCTTTTGGAGATGCATCCTTTGACAAGGACCCTTCAAGAGAATATATACTAGCATCAACTGAGATAGGTTTGCCAAGAAGTGTGTTGTTGACCCACAGTTCGGATTGTTGCACAAGGCTTTGAAGTTCTAGTTGATTTTTGGATTGTGATTCCTTTGGAAGGATCTATTTTGGCGAGAATTACAATCCATACAGAGCGGATATACTTTCTTGATCTTGGCTTCTGATGGCCTCATGGCTTTTGTTTGCTGGTAGCATTTGTTGGCTTCTGGTGGCTCTTAATGGCTCCGGGTATTGGCTTTTAGTCACATCCGGTGGCTTCTTAAACCTTTTAGTCGCATTGTTCCTCGTGAAGTCGCTGCGCCCTCCCCTCCTGGAGGATTCTCAAAAAATAATTGCTGAAGGATTGTCATTCTTTCGCCAGGAGAACCTTGGCTTCTTGTCGATCTCACAAGCATTAGCCGACTATGCCATGCTTGTGAGGCATGTCCAGGCAAGACAACATGTTGCAGATGTCTTTAGTCTTGTGCAGTGTGGCGTGATACTCTGTAGGTGTTCTGCAACATGATCTAGTGACAATCGCTGGAATTCCATTGAAACATGTCTGCAGCTTTAGAGGCTGCCAAATGGCCTGTACCTCTTGGAATGCTTGTTGGAGGAACACAAAAAACACTATATACATATATGATATGTTATATGTATATACAGTATATACAATACAAGTGTGTTCAGTAGCTCAATTGAAAGACGCTGAGCTACCCACCCCAACCCTTCGCCGTGGTCCAGGCAACCTATGACATCAGTGCCGTGGTGGCCCTAGGCGGTTCTTATGGAGGAGGGAGTGCGCTGGGAGTGCTCAGTAGCATATTGTGATTTGCAGTGCAAACTTGTACGGTACCGGCCACATATACAGTATCGAGTTGTGTTAAGTCTTGTCGTGGGAGCTAGAGGCTACAGGTGCACAAAACGTTCTAGAGTCATGCGGGGTCCTTGTAGCGATAGATGCAAAGGCAAAAGCATCCTTTTCGACTGGATGCCCGCCATTCACTAGTCAGTATGTAATGTATGATTTGTATGGCGTGGTTTGTGTTGCAACTGTTTTTGTGGAAAAGCTCCTTTGCCTTTGTCTCAAATGACCTTGACTTTTAGCCTTTAGCGATCTGTCGACAGATTGTACCATGATGGCATTGTCACAGGCATGCTGTCTGCATGGGCGCGCATCAAATACCCGAATGTCTTCGACATGGCGCTGGCAGCCTCCGCACCCATTCCCCAGGGTGTGAACCTCATTGACTCTAGGTCACATCAGACTTTCCTGACATGCATTCAGTATTTCAGGACTTCAAGGGACAAGGTTGGGTGGAGGTACCGCCGGGGGATGCAGCTGTGTTTGCGACCGACTTTTGTTTAGGTTATGGCATACTCGCTTTTGTATCAATCTGAGACTCTGTGCCAGCTGCTTGCAAGGAAGACAAGTCGACCTTTTACAGAATCGTGACAGACTCTGCTCGTTCTTTGGGCAGCAGTTGAGGCTAGGGAAAGCCGAGGTACGGCTAGAGAAGTGCTCCGTGCCGCGGGTATGCTAAGGTCTTGTGTAATGAGCGACTCTTCTTGGTGATGTCCAATGGCACGGGCTCCACTCTGTCTGCTCTTGCCCAGGTAAAGCGCACGCCAAATGCCCATGCGCCGTTCGGAGCGCCTTCAGTGAGATCATTCAAAAAGCAAGCTCGATGGAGGGTTTGAAGCAAATCAGCCACTTGGTTGCAGATGGCAGATGGTAGGTAGCTTTCCACTTTGCGGATCTGGCACGGAGATCCCTACCTTTCAGGGGCATATACAATTTATTCCTATACACAGGGACATCTAGGAAGCAATGTTTGAGCGTATACCCTTAAGCTCTCACCACTGATTCTTAGGTGACACCTTCCAACTCTGCAAGGGCATGAACGCCTCCGAACTGGACCACTTCCTGCAGCGGCTCATTGCAAAAAGACCTGCACTGATAAATGATGCCTCCACCCTAGTAGCTTCTTGTTACTAGTAGCGATGGCCTCCAACCTACTTGCGATAGCCTCCACCTAATAGCGTCCTTGTTACTATATGTGTGTGTGTGCACTTGATTTACAATGTAGGGAAGTTGGGCGCTAATTGCCTCTCCCCTTCCGTTCACTCCATTTGAGTATTAAAAGTACTATCCTTATTGCAGTGTCCTTTTGCACTTGAGGTATGTCAGAAATGCCTGGACGGTGGAGCTCTCAGTCAGAGCTCAGAAGATTGCTTTGTCCAACTCCCGGTGCCGTTGTAACTCATATAAGATTACACCCTGCTGAGGAGATGGCGATGTGCGGCTTGGATGAGGGTTTGGCTGTTTCCGACTTGCTTTGCTACTTCATACCACTGACTGCTTAAGCATGGCAGCATAGGCTAGGGATGTGGAGGTTTGTGCCACATGCGCCTTCGTATCATCATGTTGCCTGCCACAAATCACCAAATTACACTTCGCTGCATCAGATGTCACCAGGCACCACATCATCATTGCAACATTGCAGTTCACCTCAAAATTCACCACAGCACAAATCATCACCACAGCTTCCGCGCCTGCCTGGCCGGGGGTGCTTTTTTGAAGTACACTCCGGGAATCGGAAGATGACCTACAAGACTAGGTCAGACTCGGTCAGACTAGCTTCTTTTACAGAGGGCACAGACCAATTTTCCCGTTTGGGTCCGTCGGAGTGTACTCTCAAGATGCTGCAGAGTTGAAGGTTGCTTCAGCGGCCACGTCAGAACTCAGGTAACTATCCGTACCCTTCCTCCTTTTTGGCACCGCTACCTGCGTGGCCGATGGCTGCAGCTTGCGAGAAAGTCCTGAACGCGACGCAACCGATCCAAGGCGCATCTTGGGTTGGGTTGATTTTCCATTTATAGCTGTC